AACAAATCGGCAAATCTTGTAACAAGAGAATAAAATTTTAAGAAATTACCATTAACAACAGCACAAAAAATGCTTTCGAATAAGCCAAAGAGAATATATGTAAGATGTCTACACTGAGAAGCACAAAGTAGCACTAAGAGAAATCAAAGGCCCAATAAATGGAAGAAACAACATGTTCATGGATGAGAAGCTGCTTGTCCATTTTCCCTAAACTGATATATTAATACAATCTCTATCAATATTTCAGCAATAATCAAAACTGTAGTACTGGCCTAAAGACAGCCTTGAAACAGACCATACATATATGGTTAACTGACTTTCAACAAAGCTGCCACAGCAATTCAATGAGGAAAGGAAAGTATTTACATAGCAAATGGTTTTGAAGCAACTGGATATTCCTGTGGGGAAAAAAATAACCACAATCCCTATCTTATTCCATAAACCAAAATTAATTCAGAATGAATCATACACACAAAAGTAATCTATAAAGGTCACACAAGAGAATATCTTTGCTGCTTAAGGTAGGCACAGAGAGCTTTGACAGCAAATAAAAAGCATAAACTGTATGATGCAAAATCGATAAACTGAACTTTATCGAATCTTAAAACTTTCCACTCATCAAAGATACCACTAAGAAAATGAATAAACAAGCCACAGGGAGAAAACACTGGCTGCATATATTTCTAACGAAGGACTTGTATCAGAATCCAAGAATAAAACCTATAAATAAATAATAAAAAGACTAATAAAAAACAGATGAATAAGATTGAACTGATACTTTTTCAAAGAAGATAAACAAACAATGTGTACATATAAACTTGTGCTTAAACTTTTTTATTAGTTATCAGGAAAATGTAAATTCAAATCACAATGAGATATTACTAGTTTATTTTAGCCGTAATAGAATGGCTAAAATAAAAATGACTGGCCGGGTGTGGTGGCTCACACCTGTTATACCAACACTTTGGGAGGCCAAGGCAGGCAGATCACCTAAGGTCAGGAATTTGAGACCAGCCTGGTCAACATGGTAAAACCCCGTCTCTACTAAAAATACAAAAATTAGCCAGGCATTGTGGCACACACCTGTAGGCCCAGCTAACCGGGAGGCAGAGGCACAAGAATTGCTTGAACTGGAGAGACAGAGATTGCAGTGAGTGGAGATCATGCCACTGCACTCCAGCCTGAGTGACAGAGGAAGCCTGTGTCTTAAAAAAAAAAAAAAAAAAAAAAAAAAAAAAAGAAAGAAAGAAAGAAAAAAAAATTGATAACACTAAGTGTTGATAAGATATGAAATAACCAGAATTCTTATATACTCCTCACAGGAAATGATTTGTCAATTGATCATAAAGTTACATATACATCGACTTCACAATCAACAAAAATGAAAAATACATATCTACAAAAAGACTCATTAAAGAATGGATTAACAGTCTTATTCATAACAGTCTTATTCAAAAACTGGAACCATAAATGTTTATCACCTGCAGTACAGGTAAATACATTTTATTAAATCTATAGAAAAGAAGTATTACTCAATAATTAAAAAGAACAAATTATGACATACTCAATAATATAAATGAATATCTAAAACATATGTTAAGTAAAAGAAGCAAGAACAAAAAGTACATACTGTATGATTACAAGGACATGAAATCTCAATTTAGGCACATTTAATCTGTGGCAACAGAAACCAAAAAGTTGGTTTCCAGGTGAGAATAGGTAGTGGAAATTAAGAAAGAGGGGCATGAGAGAACTTGCTGGAGGAACAGAAATGTTCTATATCTTATTTGGGGTGATGTTTACATGGTATCAAACTCACCAAACTTAACACTTAAGATCTGTGCATTTTTCATTTTATGTTGACAATATCTCAATAGAAAAACATCTTCAGACATGTCTAAATTTTTAAAAAGGAATTTAGCAAATCTTTCTAAGCCATAAAGGAAAAATAATTTCTTCCAATATTAACAGAAAGTTAAATACAACAAAAAAGAGAAAAGTAATGAAAAAATTAATATGAATCAGTGAAAAGCTTGAATTACACACTAGTTTATGGAAATGATTTTATTATTTTCGAGTACATTTGCCAACTCTAATAACTTCCAAACATTTTAAAAAGCTAAGCTTTGCTGAATAGAAAAGTGCATCCAAAATTAAAATATAAAAAATATGTCACAATATTAAAAATACTGAGAGTGACAGTATCTGTGTGATTCTTTACTATACAAAGACATCTAGTTCCAAAATTTCAGCAAACTGCTATTTTACTACTTTGAAATGACTTGACACCTATAACTGCACAATCTAAGTAATTTCCTCAAATTTGGGGGGACTTTTCAATTACATAAATTTATATTCTTCTTTGAATTCTCATATAATTCATTGAGAATAAGAACAATTAACACAAAAATAGATTAAGAAACTCTCCTGATACAAAAATAGAGGATCATTCATGATACTACAAGAGGTATACAGAAAATGATCAAACAAATAACACATATGTATCAAACAGATAACATACCAATCCACATTTCATCAGGATTGGTATGTGTTATCTGTTTTCTAACTGACTATTTCATGGATAAGTAACACTTTAGTTATGAAATCTTAGTTCTCATCAGCTGAGATTTTATGGCAATGGGCTGGCTGTCCAAGCACTACACTTAATATGTAGAGAGAATTTACAATCAAAATAAAATATTTCCTAATGTCTCTTTCTCTATCATATACTTCTAATCTTCCTGAAAGAAAACTGTTAATGTTTCACATACCAATGCTGTACTACAAAATGGGAGTAAGGGTCAAAACAACAATAGATCTTATCAGAATCTTAGCAAAAAGATACTTGGTTGGTGTTTGTAGTTTTTTTGTTTGTTTGCTTTTTTGCCAATGATTCTGGGGAAGGTCTCACTCAAGTACTGTCTTGAAAAGCCTCAATATGACCACTGTTGAATTTCCATGACATTACAGTAGATACACATTCCAAACAGATTATCATTGAGGAATTTCAAAGAGCAGCATACACATAAACACTGAATAAAAGCTTATTATAGGTCTTTAAGTTTGCATGCATTTATGAGTCTAATAATCACGATAGCTTGAGGCACTCTGCACCTCTAAAGATAATAAAAACTCATTTCTTCAGATATCTGTTGTGAAATAACATTGAAAAGGTCAATTTTAGAGAATTATATAAGTAATAAGGCATTAATAAATCTGCACACAATATCTGACAACTGAGACAGCACAGGATTCTTCTCTGGGGTCTGCCGCTTTCCACCCCCAGCAGGGAAATAAAGGAAAATCTTAAGTTCCCTCAAGGAAAATTCAACGCACTCAGCTAGCCCTGAGAAGTAAATGAGCAACTTGATAAGCAAAGGTAATAACAGCTGAAAATCACAGCCAAGAAAGTTAAAGTTACAAAATGTTTTGCTTCTTATGTCAGAGGGGTGTGAACCACAGCAACTCCATCTTGAATAGGAGCTGGGTAAAATGAGACTAAGACCTACTGGGCTGCATTCCCAGATGATTAAGGGATTCTAAAGTCACAGGATGAGACAGGAGGTCAACACAAGACACAGGTCATAAAGACCTTACTGATAAAACAGGTTGCAGTAAAGCCATCTAAAAGCCACCAAAACCAAGATGGCCACAAGAGTGACCTCTGGTGGTCCTTACTGCTACATTACCACTAGTGCCATGACAGTTTACAAATGCCATGGCAACAACATCAGGAAGTTACCCTATATGGTCTAAAAAGGGGAGGCAGGAATAATCCACCCCCTATTTAACACATAATCAAGAAATAACCATAAAAAATGGTGAACCAGCAGCCCCTTAGGGCTGCTCTGTCTAAAGAGTAGCCATTCTTTTATTTCCCTACTTTCTTAATAAACTTGATTTCACTTTACGGACCCACCCTGACTTCTTTCTTTCTTTGAGACAGAGTTTTGCTCTTGTTACCCAGGCTGGAGTGCAATGGCACAATCTCGGCTCACCGCAACCTCCACCTCCTGGGTTCAGGCAATTCTCCTGCCTCATCCTCCTAAGTAGCTGGGATTACTTGCATGAAATCCAAGAACCCTCTCTTGGTGTCTGGACTGGGGACTCCTTTCCAGTAACACCTATGGAAACTAAAGAAAACATCTTAACATAGGCCTCTGAGTTGTTTTTCAGAAACCCGGACCCCCACCAAATGGATCTGCTGGTACACAGACTTCAGATAAGAAGAAACCGGAGACTGAACTCTGACCGTATTTCTTTGTTTAAAATTTCTTCCTGAGTGGCCTGGAGGAAGTCATGCCCATGGGACAGATCTAATATTCTTTTCTGCTGACCACAAGTCTTTACACAAAGCTCTCTTTCCTTAACCAACTGCCAATCAAAAAATCTTTGAATCCACCTACGATTCCAAAGCCCCTGCTTCAGGATGTCCTGCCTTTTTAGGCCAAATCAATGTATATATTTCATGTGTTGATATATGCCATTGCCTGTAACCTGTTTCCCCACCTTTAAAACTCTTATATGTAAGCCATAGAGGAGGTTGAGTCTTCAGCATGAGCTGCCCAATTCTCCTTGCTTGGCACCCTGAAATAAATGTCTCACTTTCTCTCACTGCAAATCTCGATATAAGTGCTTGGCTTTGGCAAACCTGATGTGCAGACCCAAGTTTAGTTCAGTCATACCACTAGAAGAGCATTCCTAACATTTTTCTTCATGAAGGATGATACACACACACACAGACATATATATACACACACACATATATGCATATTAATTAGCTGAAAAGGATATCTGTAATTTAAAAGGGAGTACAGTCATGTGCCAGATAACGATGTTGCAGTCAATGATGTACTACATATACAATGGCAGCCCCATAAGATTATAATGGAGCTGAAAAATTCCTACTGCCTAGTGACATCAGAGCTATTATAATGTCACAGTATAATGCATTACTCACATGTTTGTGGAAATGCTGTTGTAAACAAACCTACTTTATAAAGTGGAGCTGGGTGTGGCAACTCATGCCTGTAATCCCAGCACTTCGGGAGGCTAAGGCAGGAGGATCACTTGAGGCCAGAAGTTCGGGACCAGCCTGAGCAAGGTAGTGAGACCTCATCTCTACAAAATAATTACAAGATTAGCCAGGCATGGTGGCACCAGCCTGCAGTCCTAGCTACCCAGGAGGCTGAGGTGGGAGGATCACTTGAGCCCAGGAGGTCGAGGCTGCAGTTAGCTATGCTCACACCATTGCCCTCTAACATGGGTAACAGAGTAAGATCCTGTTTCTGTAATTAAAAAAAAAAAAATTTATAAAGTAAAAATGTTACAATAAGCTAAGGTTCATTTATTATTTTAAAAATATTTTGTATAAATTTAGCATAGCCTGAATGTACAATGTTTATAAAGTCTACAATAGTGTACAGTGACGTCCTAGGCCTTCACATTTACTTACCACTCACTGACACCCAGAGCACATTCCAGTTCTATTAGCTCTACTTATGGTATGGACCCTACACAGGTGTGTACCATTTTTAATCTTTTGTGGCATATTTTTACTGTATCTGTTCTATGGTTATATTTAGATACACAAATACTATATAATATTTGTGTATATTATATATATACACACAAAAAAACCATATATATATAATAATAATATATATATACTATAAAAAGGCTATACCATAAAGCCTAATGTGCAGCAGGATACACCATTTATACGTGGATGGCTTATGTAAGTACACTCTGTGATGTTCTCACAGGATGAAATTGCCTAACAACACATTTCTTAAACTTGAAGTGATACAGGACTGTATGCAGTCAAAAACAATATGCTTTCCTAGAGCTCACAATTTGGCTCCATAATGTAACAGCAGCCCTTACTATAGAATCTTTGTGAATAATCCTATAATGGAATCTTACATTTAACAAAGATAGCCTCTTGGTCCTCAGAGAGAGCCTTAAAGTGATGGTTCAGTGTGATTATGTGGCCAGCCACACTGACAGAACAATATGAAGAAATGTACACCCAAATCTCTAAGGAATGCCTCCATTCTCCAGAAGAGCCATTTTAATACCATTAATATTTTTAAATAGACCTCTTGGTCTTCTGAACATGTTTTTTGAAACTTCTGCGAAATAGCACTATATCACTGACTGCCTTTGAGAAAAAATTGGGAGATTAATTCTGAGATTCCTAGTAGCTCCAAGAAGCAGGAGCAAGAGAGAGAAAAACAGAGGAGGAAGTGAGAAAGAGGGAAGCAGGAAGATGGGAGAGGCAGGCAGAGGAAGGGGAAGAGGAGGAGGTAGTGAAGAAAGGGGAGACAGCAGGAGAAGTGGAATAAGAAAACAGAAGAGAAGGAGGGAGAAAGAGGAAAAGGAAGGATAGGGTTTCGAAAGAGAGAAAAGAGACTAAAGAACAATGAAAGACAATAAAGCTGTGCAATTTGGGGTAGGTATTGGTGTTTTTCTTTTCTATTTTTTTATGTTCCCTGCCTCCCCCCTCCACCCCACCAGTATTGGTGTTTTTCAAATAAAGAATTCAGACAACTAATTTAAACTCACAACAACAGTACAGAAGCATTCCTATTTCTCCACAGCCTCACCAGCATCTATTGTTTCCTGACTTTTTCATACTCGCCATTCTGACTGGTGTGAGATGGTATCTTACGGTTTTGATTTGCATGTCTCTAATGACCAGTGATGATGAGCTTTTCTTCATATGTTTCTTGGCAGCATAAATATCTTCTTTTGAGAAGTGTCTGTTCATATCCTTTGTCCACTTTTTGATGGGGCTGTTCATTTTTTTCTTGTAAATTTGTTTAAGTTCCTTGTAGATTCTAGATATTAGCCCTTTGTCAGATGGGTAGATTGCAAAAATTTTCTCCCATTCTGTAGGTTGTCTGTTCACTCTGATGATAGTTTCTTTTGCTGTATAGAAGCTCTTTAGTTTAATTAGATCCCATTTGTCTGTTTTGGCTTTTGTTGCCATTGCTTTTGGTGTTTTAGTTATGAAGTCTTTGCCCATGCCTCTGTCCTGAATGGTATTGCCTAGGGTTTCTTCGAGGGTTTTTATGGTTTTGGGTTTTACATTTAAGTCTTTAATCCATCTTGAGTTAATCTTTGTGTAAGATGTAAGAAAGGGGTCCAGTTTTAGTTTTCTGCATATGGCTAGCCAGTTTTACCGGCGCCATTTATTAAACAGGAAATCCTTTCCCCATTGCCTGTTTTTGTCAGGTTTGTCAAAGATCAGATGCTTGTATATGTGTGATGTTATGTTATTTCTGAGGCCTCTGTTCTATTCCATTGGTCTATATATCTATTTTGGTACCAGTACCACGCTGTTTTGGATACGGTAGGCTTGTAATATAGTTTGAAGTCAGGTAGCATGATACCTCCAGCTTTGTTCTTTTTGCTTAGGATTGTCTTGGCTATACAGGCTCTTTTTCAGTTTCATATGAAATTTAAAGTATTTTTTTTTCTAATTCTCTGAACAATCATTGTAGAAGACAGAGTGGTAATTCCAAGGACCTAGAACCAGAAATACCATTTGACCCAGCAATCCCATTACTGGACACATACCCAAGAGATTATAAATTGCATGCTACAAAGACACATGCACATGTATGTTTATGTAGCACAATTACAACTTCAAAGACTTGGAACCAACCCAAAATGCCTATCAGTGATAGACTGGATAAAGAAAATGTGACACATATACACCAAGAAATACTATGTAGCCATAAAAAAGGAGGAGATCACGTCCTTTGCAGGGACATAGATGAAGCTGGAAGCCATCATTCTCAGGAAACTAACACAGGAAGAGAATACCAAACATCACATGTTCTCACTTATAAATGGGAGTTGAACAATGAGAACACATGGACACAGCAAGGGGAACAATACATACCAAGGCCTGACGAGGGGTGGGAGACAAGGGGAGGGAGAGGATCAGGACAAATACCTAATGCAAGAAGGGCTTAAAACCTAGATGATGAATTGATAGGTGCACAAACCACCACAACACATGTATACCTATGTAACAAATCTGCAGGTTCTGCATATGTAACCTGGAACTTAAAGTTAAAAAAAAAAAAAAGAAAGAAAAGAAAACCTTTTTAAAAAGAATTAAGAGATAGATCTGCAGAAACTGAATTCATCAAAATAAAGAAATGTAAAAGGTTAAGATATGTGGTTGAATTATTGAATTCATGGCAATTTATCGCAGAACCTTTTTTTAAAACTTCTATAATATACCTTAAACTGTAAGATTTACAAACTCTAAAATATAATCTTGCACCAATTCCTTTTGTTAGTAACACATGCCTTTTTTCTCTTTTGAATATATGCAAGTGTAGCATAATCCCTGTTCCTGTATGATTGCACATAAGATATGAAAACAATTTTAATCTTGTGCAGTGGGTTATGTAGTAGCCAATATAAGTATAAACCCAGACACCTCCACTCTCCCAAATCAAATCAACAAAGTCTTCGATGACTATATACAACATGAGCTACAGAGAAAATTCTGATATCAAAACTTTATCTCCAATTTCCCCCGATGACAATTAACAGTAGGGAGGGTACTTGCTGACTTCACCTACTCTCTGGGTTCAGGGAAAAGTTTTTTGCATACATAGTTAAGGACTAAAGAAACTGATGTCAAACTAAAGTTATCCCTGCTAAATAAGAGTGGCTATGTACACACACCAAAGATCTACAGAGGGGCTCTCCTACAACTCAGAGCTCTTGCTGTGGTCACCAAGGCCATCAGGTACTACTAATTAAGTAGTGTATTCTGTCAATGCTTTCATTTTTTTCTTCTATTAATTGATCATTCTGCCATATTAATGATACTAGTACAGTGGCTTTGAATTCCCTTGAGTGCTTTACTCCTGAGATAGGAAAAAAACAGTAAAGAAGATATGTTTGTCTTTACCTATCTCTTATGTGATCGATGCTAAAACTGTTTCCTATAAAAGTTATCTATTTCTTTTATTTGCAGAAAAGCTTCTGTGTACCTAAAATGTACAAATATTTTTAAAATAAAACTTTAACTGATTTAACTTTATAAGCTATAGAAAATAACAATTGAAATGAAATATATGCCCACGTAAATATGTATACAAGTATGTAACATTCTCATATATAGGTGTTCAAAATTAATAATGGGATTACATGTGTAAGGCAGGAGAAGTTGTAACAATCCTTAATTCTAACTACCTAATGATAAAAGAACATCACCTACTGAAGCTCAGTAAACAAGATAGGTGACCTTAATACTGACAGAAAAAAAAAAAGAGGAAAAGTAGAAAATAAAGCATTTAGTAATTATAGTTAAAGTCAACTTAATATACTATTTTTGAGATAAAGGCCTAAATAGGCTTCTTAGCATATCAAGAAACACATATTCTCTGAGATAATTTTTGGTTTTCATTATTGCAAATAACTGGATTATGAAGCAACCGTTAAACGGTTGGTGAGGAAGTGCTGTAAGACCATGCAATCTGCAATGCTCTACTGCATCTGAATATAGTTTAGACAGGCAAGAGAGAGACATACATTGACTGACATTGACTGTGTTTTGTTATGTTTTGGTTTGCTTTATTTTCTAAGAGATGCTCACTTGCTTAAAATATGGTCATGTTACAAAAAGATACCTACTGGGAGTGTGTCCTTTACACTTTGACACCACCTTAAGATTATGAAAGCTGAAAAAAATAATCATCACAAAGGTAAAGTCAAGTGCAGCACACTACTGCCACCTATTGCTTAGTAAAATATTGCCTAAAGAAGCAGTCACCAATTCATTTATCTTTTATGCACGTTAACAAATGAAACATGCTTTTTAAAATGTTTTTAAACTTTTTTAAGGTTTTGTGATTTAGAGAAAATATAACCCACATGTAAGACTGGCATCCTAAAAATATGTTTATCCATCAAAAAATACTTATTTACTACCTTACAACAAGCCAGATATTGTGCCAACCAATGAATGATAGATAAACAGGGATCACTCTCCTTGATCCCTGTCCTAGCGGTTAAAAAAAAAAATAGGCATGCCAACAATTTATTATGATGCATTGGGAAGGATGAATAAGA